TACTATGGCAGACGACTTCGGACTCGGTGCGTTCTACCAAGTCGCCCTGGCAACAAGACCAAGTTGCGACAACGAGGTCAACCCACTTCTATAAAAGGTGGATTGTCTTAGGGTTACGATGGTTGATTTGTGCAAATAAGTCCTCTGAGCACCGTCCTACGACCCCTTTGGATGTATTTCAAACGTTTATAACTAGAAACTACCCTATAGAAGAGCTCACTAACCACCTTATTTTGCGATTTTGGTGAAGCATCCCATAATTTGGTTTCATTCGTTTTTCTCTTAATGTTTGTAGGTGTGCAAAGCTGGCATGAATTTGACCTATACATACATTTCCTTACCCAAATGACCTGTAGGGTTATCCTGCGGTGGTAGTACTTGCGTTGATGTGTAGTTGCGCGTAAATAATTTGGGACATTAGAATCCTATTTCTCGTTTCATAACTTTTTTCAACTACCATTCCTTTATCACCTTAAACGAAATAGGGTGAATACAGCTCTTATATGACAATCCTAACCATACTCAGCCCCTCTTACACGGTGGCTCATCCCGCTCCCTCATAATTATATCCATTAGCCAGAGTTTATTCCCGCTCACTTTCCAAGACGTGTTCCTCATCTTCAGATAGTTGGTAGTTTTTTTAATTTATATTGAATTAATATTCTCAAACTTTGCTGGGAAACCTCAGTGTCATGCAAAATTGTATTTTCTAGAACATTCTTTTTCGTGCTTTATACTAGCTCTATTATAAGCCATTTCACATTTTTTTACCTATATACCTTAGTGGGCAGCTTGGTATTTTGATAAACTCGTCTGTGTGGATTAGCAGAAAATTTCCCACATATGAGCTACTATCGCAACATCACACCTTATAACAGCCTAATACGGAGAGAGATTTCCAATTTTCTCTAAATAAATTCACGTCCGAAGCAAAGGATGGTTTCCATACTTTGTCCTAATTCGCTATTCCTTTAGTAGTTCATGGTTCAGTTTTAGGTCTAATGATTTGCCTATACTCCAATATTCCCGTAATCAGGGCTGCACAGGCTATATGGTTGACGCAAGATCAATGTCCGGATACCATACTATGTAAAAATGTGGACAAAATTCAGTGATCAGACTGTCCATTCTAGTAATAAACAGTAGATAACAGTGGTTGACTTCATTTTTGCAACTTGTTTGTGTCGTCAGAGAGGCACACCTTGTTCGGAACCCTCTCCAATAGGCTACACCATCTTTATCTTCATACTTTCAACCTAGTTCACTCTGAATAGTAAATTTTTTGAGTAAACACGAGGTTTAGCTATGCGATTGTGTTTAAATCCAATTTTAGCTAATAATTACATGATATGATGCTTTATTTTCGTATAATTGTTAACTCCATTCTTCAATTCAATCCGTTTTTAGCCATTTATCAGAACAGTATGGCGATGTGATGAACGAACTTAATTTTATTAGAGAGGATTTGAACCAACAGCTCAAGGTAATTACGCCCAGCGTTTTGGTATGCTTTATCCATTTTTCATATCAATTTTGTTTTATAAGCATTCGTTGAATTCGCTTTTAATGTTACACCTTGTTTTGAGTAATATTGCATCTGCCTTTTATTGTATTCTTTCACGTTCCCCTTTTATTTTTTTATATTTTCAGCGCACTCTGTTTACGTTATCCACTTAGGGGTCTTATTGTTTGAGATACCTCCTGTAGGCTCATAACTATCCAGATTCTGCCATATATTTTTTCATTGTTTATTCTTTTTTTCCCCTATCATCTTTATTTGCTTTATTTGTTTTATAATACTTCTAATCATAAGGCCTTCTTTTATCTTGTACCCACTTATTTTACCTTTAACTTGTATTCCATTTATTCTTTATCCTTCATTTCACCCTATTTTTATTTTTCCATTTCATTTTATAATTCTTTCCCTAGTATTTACGTAATTTTTCCATACTTATTGTCGACCGTTTCTTTTGCCTTTTACAGGCTATAATGAATCATATGTGGTTTTTATTATTTATTCATAATTTATTTTCGTCCTAGACGGTTCGTGACGATCTTGATCCTCAATTTTTGGATGCTGCCGTAGAAACGGATTCTCCGATTCAGTCTCCCTTAGTCTCACAAAATGAGGAAAAAGAGGAAGCCTTAGCCGCCTCGGCTAATGAGACTAGGCCCTCCTTTGGTTAGTTAGTTAGTATCCATTTCTTTGTTACTGTCTTAATAACATGGCCAAAAATTGAGGTTCATATCCC